TTTACAGTCATATATAAAAGGCATTAACATGTGTTCAAACTGTCCTGAAGTTTCTCAGCTTCCCTCCTCTTTTACCCATTCCAGTTAAAAGAGTCTTTTTCTTATATTTTCTCATTTGTATTGAACTACTTAGCTATGCTCTTGAAAGACCGGCTTTCATGTCACTGCAGTTGTTAACTTTTTAGCCCAAAAGGACAGGGACTGCTTTTGTACAGTGGTGCAGGAGACACCTTTCCATCATGCCTCATAGTGGTGAGGAGAGCTAAAGATCACTGCGGAAGCTCACCGTCTCAAGGGGAGACAGAACAAAAATGTCTCGGAATCCTGAGCTGAAAAGTTAACTTGGCTGAATAAAACCATAAACAAGGGAAAACATAAAACCCAGAGCCATTATTTGTATTTATTATTTTCACCATCTTTCCATGTTCATTGTACTATTTGCAAAAGGAGACAAAAGCTTACCAAAAGCACAACAGGCCAATAGTGCAAGAAGGGCCACAAATACTAAATTTCCATATGTCAAACATACACACGTGAAAACAAGTTTCTGACTCATTATTACTAAAGTCAGTGTTGAGTAAATCTTTTGATTTTATACCAAACTAACATTATTATAAAAACATATGGCTACTATAAAAATAAAATTTCAAAACTTATGCCACTAAACTTACCTTTTAACCAACCTCTGAAAACTTGAATATCTAATAATAATTAATTTCAGTAAATATAGTCTTGCAAGCTCTCTGCTACCATTTTTGCGACCAAAACTCAAATTCTTATTAATAGTTGATAAACAGGATAAAGGAAGTTCACAGCTTCCATATAGAACAAAAGCACATAATAGTTATTTTAAATAAAAACTATATTCAACTATCCTTGCTTTTTAAATGGTAATTCTAATTAATTTAATTAATTTTAGGTGTGTGACTACAGAGAATCCAATTTTTTTGAAGATTTTATTTTTCAGTAATCGTTACACCCAACATGGGGCTCAAACTCACAACTCCAAGATCAAGAGTAGCATGCTCTTACAACTGAGCCAGCCAGATGCCCCCAAGAATCCAAATTTTAAGATGCATACTTATTGAAAGAAATAACCACAACTTAACACATTTTTCAATTTTGATTTTTTTTCCTAGATGGCTATGCTGTCCTCTTGATACACTAAAACAAAACCTACTGTGAGAATGACAGTTTTCTTGCATGATCAGCAAAGTTTTATATGGAGTTCGAAAATAATCAAGTGATACTCACATTACATGTACAGTGACTGACATGCAAACTAACAGATGTTAATTAGCTAATATAAATGTAGTATAGATATTAAAATTTAATTGATATCATCTTCTAGCTAAATGGAGGATGGCAAGGAGAAGAAATTAACCATGGTATTTTTTTTTTACTACGTGCCAAAAATTGTGCAATGTACTATACTTAGGTCAACTCCTTTATATACACACATTAAATGCAAGCATAGGTGATTATGAGGCTACCATCTTTCAGATTTAGTCCCTTGGGAAAGGCTTCCCCTTCAATTAAATTCTCCACAAAGTAGGTAATAGTGGCAAAGATGTCTCAACATCGTTTACAGCAATTAAGTCTATTGCCATGGGTTGCAGGCAAACAAATGAAAAGTCAATTAGAAAGACTAGGAGAATGCACCCTTATAAAACAGGTATTTTGATGTTATAGCTTTTCCCCTATAGACTAACAAGTAATACCTTCCAATGACTTTTCTCACTGAAAAAACCTACCTTACTAATTAAGAATACATTTGGTTCAATTACAAGTTCCCATACGGGGGGAAAAAAAAGCTGATAAGCCCTTTTTTAAAGCCACAAAACCAGATTTCAATTGTGGCCTATAGGGCCACTTCCCAGAGCAAAATTTCCAAAAGTAGCAATAACAAAGGATGTTAGTTCATGTCTGTGATCAAGTACCACTATACATCATTCTGATGCTTCTTCACTTTTAGTTTTCAGCAGTTCGATTGTTTTTTGAGCATGCTCTTTTTTTTTCTTTTGGCTTTCTCCTGTATCAGTTTACTAAACTTTCTAAATCTAAAAATGCATACCTTGATCCAATATTGGGATACTTTTAGCCATTATTAGTTCACATAATTTTTCTACAACAATCTCTTTCTCCTCTCCTTCTGGACTCTACTGACATTAATGTCACTCTGTTGATGTCATCCCCCAGGACTCTGAGGCTCTGTCCTTTTCTACTTCACCTAATCTTTTTTCTCTCTTCTTCCATTTGGATAATTTCTATTGGTTTATCTTCAAATTAACTGACTCCTTCCCCTTCCTCTGCCTCTTCCATTCTGCTATGGAACCCATGCAGTGAAATTTTCATTTCAGATATTGTATTTTCCAGTTGTAAAATGTCCAGTTGGTTCTTCTCTCATAGTTTTTATTTCTGTTGAGAATTTCTACCTTTCCATTTATTTCAAGTGTATTTACCTTAAATACTACACTATGATAGCTGCTTTCAGTTCCTTTATATTTCCAACAGCTGAATTATCCCAGTTTGATGCCTGTTCATTCCTTTCCCTTGAGAATTGGTCATAGTATACTCACATGTCAAGAGATTTTAAACTGTATCCTAGACATTGTGATGCTATTGTTGTATTATAATCCTTACTTTTGCTTGTTTATTTTGGCAGGCATATGACCTGCTTAGTTTCAGACTGCAATTTTGGCTTTGCCTTCTACAGACCACAGTTCTGTAGAAGTTCAGCTCTCAAAGACTTTGTTATGCTATTTTGGGTCTGGTCCCACAAAATGTGCCACCCAGAGGTTACTCTGAGACTTTGGGTGACAGTTTAAATCTTGTTTACAACAATGTATATCTGTCATTCAAAGCGCAGGGTGAACTCAGGACATATGCAGAGAATCAGAGGATACCATTCTTCAGCTCTCTCTTCTCCAGAATTCCCCTCACACTCTCTTTCCCACGGAGTTCAAACTTCCTGATTCCTCAGGCCAGAAAAACATTAATTTTAAGGTGTTTGAGGGTTAACATTAGCACTATGTCATATGGTTTAATTCAAACTATACTTAGAAGCTGATGAGGCATGAGTTTAGCTGCTATTCCTCCAAAAGGTAAAATGAAGGCCAGAAAAGACTATCATTATATTGGACAAGCACACATAAAAACTATACAAAACCATTATGTTCTGATATAATCTTTGTAAAAGGTCATTTCCCCCACATCGGGCTTACTGCTGTCAGTGCACAGCCTGCTTGGATCTTCCATCCACCCCCCTCTCTGTGCCTCTCCCCAACTCGTGTGCACGCTCTCTTTCTCATGCTCTCTCAAAAATAAATGAAAACATTAAAAAAAATGTTAAAGTTCAATTCTGACCTAATAAAAAAATAGAGTTAGATACATATAGAGAAAAATAACTGAAATAACTAAAGTCATCAATGCAGCCCTCCTGAAGAAAAACTAGACATGTCAGAAAGACAAAACTTGGAGAGGTACACAACGAACTACTATGAAATCATGAAAGTTATGCATAGGGCAGGTCCAGATACTCAGATTCACCAAAACCCCTAATATTCAGACCACAATATATACCTGGAAGCTTACATTCAGAATAAAATGAACTTCTATTTTACATAGCAAATGTTAAAAAATGGTTGACTGAAAAGCTTCATAAATAAATTTTTGATAGATGTTTCAATTAAATTGTGGAGAGGAGTCCATAATCATGAATTCAAGAGAGCCAATGGAATTTGAGGGATGCAAGCAACCTCTTCTGTGTCATTAAAAACAAGAGTGTCTATCTGCACAACTTATTCCATTACTAGATCAACCCTAGATATTATTCAGTATTTTTTTTCTTACACATAGCCTTATTCTTACTATTTTAAAACCTTAGGAGTCTTATCAACAAGTACTGGTCAGAACCTAATAAAGCAGCAGTAATTCTTCATTTATTCTACCTCAGAAGATCATGGAAGATTAGCAAAACAAATATTTCAAGATCTTTTAATTTAATTTCCCTGACTTATACAGAGAAGTGCCACATACTAAATTCATTAAAAATACAATAATATTGGGGCGCCTGGGTGGCGCAGTCGGTTAAGCGTCCGACTTCAGCCAGGTCACGATCTCGCGGTCCGTGGGTTCGAGCCCCGCGTTGGGCTCTGGGCTGATGGCTCAGAGCCTGGAGCCTGTTTCCGATTCTGTGTCTCCCTCTCTCTCTGCCCCTCCCCCGTTCATGCTGTGTCTCTCTCTGTCCCAAAAATAAATAAACGTTGAAAAAAAAAAAAAACAATAATATTTACAAAACTAATATTTCATTTTTAGGCTCATAACAAGTTTTATAAATTTCAAATGGTAAATAACCTGAAATACAATGTCTTATTTGATAAAGTCATCTTAAATTCTTTTTTCTTCCCAAGCTTTACTACAGTAAAACTGACAAATAAGATCGTAAGATATTTAAGTATGCAACACAGTAATTCCATATATATACACATCGTGAAAGGAATCCTCCCCCTACCACCAAATTAACAAATTAACACATCCATCACATTACATGTTTACCTTTTTTTTTGGGGGGGGGGTAAGATAATTTAAGTTCTACTCTTAGTAAACTTCAACTATACAATACAGTTTTATCAACTATAGCCATCATGTTACACATTAAATCCTGAAACCTTATCCATCATATAAATGAATGTTTTAATTCTTGAATTATTTTGATAACTAAGTATTATCAGAGAAATCCGCATTTACTTTAATACACTGAAAGTATTCTGTAAAGTTGCTACAATAAAAATATGATCCAGGTCCAAAAAGGGAAGAGAAAAAAATCTGACATTATCACCTCACTTTATTGTACTTTGATGGAACGACGTACATCACAGAGGGTTATTCATATCTTTCTAAGTTAACAATTTAGCTTCAAGTTTCATCATAAAAGAAAATCACTTGGAAATATATCTCTATGTAGCAAAAAAGGATAAAAATATAGCAAATATACATACTCCTTTTGGAAAGCCATACACATGGGAGAGCTGAACCCAAAGATGAGGCACATCTGGGCATCTGGGCTGTAGCCATGCTGGAGTAACATTTCTAGGCACTCTTCATGCCCTCCGAACACTGCAGAGTAAACGGGGCTCACTTTGTCTGGCCCAGTGTCACAAACCCGGTTGGTAAGTGGTATTAACAATTCCAAGATTCTGTAAGCACACAAGTTCAGGGCATTTCATGTTTCATATGTACATGAGTGCAGTCAACATTTCTATGGCACTTATTTTAATAGTCACCCTTTGATTGATTTAAAGTCTTTGTCTGTCTTCTACCTACATTAGATTATTACAGGATAATAACATGTTACCCTTATTGTTGCTTTATACAAAGGTCCTTACACATATCTGAAACAGAATTAAGTAATGTTACTATAAGTAAATATGTAACAGGTTATCCTTATTTTTTCACTAATTATTTCCCTTGCCACCATCATCACCGTACTCTCCCAAATTCAAATTTTCTATTAGGTATTTTAGGATCTGATCATTTAAAACTTCATTATACCAGATACAAACTTACATCAAGAAAATAAATAATTTTCCTCCTTAAAGTACAAACTAAAATTGATTTTCCTAATTAATAAGAATTTTTAAAGAGAATGAGTGACATGCAATGAATAGTATTTTCATGAGGAAGGAATAAGAATTTCTGCTAAAATATTCTATTTTCTGAAAAGAACATGAGCTCTTTAAACACTGAGGCAGATTTATAAAGAAACTGGTTGCTAAGTAGAGGAAGTTCTGAAGAAAATCATTAAAACCTAAGTTCTTAGATTATTTGTAAACTTACCTCCAAGACTCACAGCTGGAAAAAAATTAACAGTTTACTTTTCTAAAATTAAAAATACATCTGTAGGGATAAGGTCAGCCATGAAATCCCCCCTCTTTCTGGGAAAAGAAATGCAGGGTTACTCCAAAGCTACTTTTCTTTAGTACTTACATTCACAGAAGGGGTTACATTGAAGTGGTCTATGGAGGAAATCGTTATAACAAAAAAATTCCCAATATTGACAACAAATAAGGACAAACCCCAAGAGGGTTTTGGTATCAATTTAAAGCTCATGGTAGAATTGTATCTAAGACTTCTGTTTAAATAAACAAGCAAGAGTTAAGAAAAACACCAAATCGTAAAACCTAGGTATTCTGTTGAAATAAAGAATCAGTTTAATGTCCCTTAATAAATGTGTTTTAAAAATGGATTGGAAAAATTATACAAGGTGCAATAGTAAAATACCATGCCACCTAGTGGCATAATAACCAAACGACAGAATGTTTTCCTACTATGTAAACATATGAAAGGAATGACAATTTCACTATTACTTTTTAAATTAAATAATACAAACAACTACATGGGGCGCCTGGGTGGCTCAGTGGTTGGGCGTCCGACTTCAGCTCAGGTCATGATCTCGCAGTCCATGAGTTCAGTCCCCGCGTCAGGTTCTGTGCTGACAGCTCAGAGACTGGAGCCTACTTCAAATTCGGGGTCTCCCTCTCTCTCTGCCCCTCCCCCACTCATTCATTTTCTCTCTCTCTCTCTCTCTCTCTCTCTCTCTCTGTCAAAAATAAATAAACGTTAAAAAAATTTTTTTTAAATAAAAAAATAATATGAACTACAAAACTACTATTTTAAATTATGACTCTAAAGAGTTTAAACATACATTTCTTAAAACTATTCATTGCCAATTTATGTTAAGATGGGCTGCCATATTCTCAGAGGTATAACCAGGTTATTCGCTTCTAAGATTCCTGGAACCCCTAATTTCAGGGAGTTCCAACTTTCTTTAAGTCTCTTTCTCCAGAAAAATTTCATAAGAACTTCTGACTAAGGAAGAAGAGTAACAGAAGTAGGGCAGGCAAAGTACCAAGTTGGATTAGAGATTAAAGAGAAGGTCCAGTCACAGGGTTCAAGATGGGGAGAACTCCTTAGCCCACACAAAGGAAAGACTCGACCCAAGAAGGGTCACACACTCAAAAGCTTCCTGGGGTCAAACAGGAAACATCGAATAAGGCCATCAGATTGTTAACTAAAGACACCTGGAATAAAACCGGAGCAGAGCAGCAGAGTATGGCCACAGCTTGAGAAATTAGAGGAAAGTCTTAATACCCTGAGGATGCCCCAGGGCTCCATCTCCAGCCATTCTGTTCACACTAGGAAAGTGTAAGGCTAAGAGGAGCTGGGGATGGCAGAGAGGACAGATATGGGGGTGGCTCTAATCATACAGCAGGCTGGTAGAGAAAATACCAAGGATTTTGCCTAAGATAAGAGAACAGGCTCAGAAGATTTATTCCTTGCCGCCTTTTAATTACGAGACTATTTTTATTTTCTGTTTTACTACTTACTCTGTATGGCCCATTTGTGCAGCTGCATGAATAGGTAACTGCCAATCATCCTCATTACAGTAAAGATCAGGATCTGCCCCACTGGACAGCAAAAGCTCTACACATTCTGTGTGGCCCTCCTGAGCAGCAATGAACAAGGGAGTAGCTTCATCCAATGCTTGACAATTGACATTTGCACCTAATAGAGGATAACAACATGTAACAGACAATCTTAATTTATTTTTTTAAAAATGATAACATAAATTTCAAAACAGCTGTCTTAAAAGGGTTTTATAGTACAATAGTTCCAACCCCAGTGGACGCTGTTGTATAAACATACTGATTTTCCAAACTTGTTGGTAATCATTTTAAATTGTTTTTGCTTTTATGCTAACAAGAAAACAAGTGATTAACATTTTAGAATTCATTTTTAAGCTAAAACAAAAATCTTATGCAATGAAGGATTCATTTCATTCCAATCTGTCCTCCAGCAAGCACTCTGTGGGTCCAGTAAGTAATCACTGAAAAGTGGAAAATACAAATCATCAAAAATGGATAACATCTGACTATTACAGAAAAAGATAAGAAAAACGTACGTTATAAGACTTTATAGATGCCATTAATCAATTCACGCTAAGATTTATGGAAAAAAAATCCCCACAGATATGACATACATTGGGGCCATACCTTAAAACTAATGTTAACTATACTTTTCATTATATCCTTTTCCTTCATGACCACTGCATTTAGAGCCTTATAATGAAAGAGAAAATGTCTACTTAAATGGTTTCTGAGCAGACTTTCAGAGAACAAAAACTGAGGCGCCCGGGTGGCTAGGTCGGTTAAGCGTCTGGACTTCTGATTTTGGCTCAAGTTAGGATCTCATGGTTCGTAGGTTTGACCCCTGCTTCAAACCTGCTTGGGATTCTCTCCCTCCCTCCCACTGTCCCTCCCCCACTCACATGAGAGCACGCGCTCCTTCTCTCTCTGTCTCTCAAAAATAAACATTACAAAATAAAGAACAAAACTAATCAATTACTTAAATGCCAATATATTAAGATGTAAAAAAGTGACCTCACTTTTGGTAAAGGTTTTAAAAATAGCTAATTTCCCTCAATTTTTCTCATTGACAAATAACATGTTAAATATGCTAAGTATAGTGTTATTGCATGACAATGAGAATTTTTAAATTTCTCTAATGTCTCAGTGGAAATATCTTCATCACAAGGGAAAAAAATTTTTTTTCTTTGAATGGATGTTCTATAAATGCACCTTGAATAAACCACAGCCCTGAGACAGGTAAAAAGTCTGCAAAACACAAATACTAAGTTAAAGCGTTGATAGAATTTCAGAAATTCTAACTGGACACTCAACACATCCAGATAAGTAGAAACTTCTCGACTTAAACAAGGTGGATGCTTCACGTACTGTCAACCTCAGAAAGAAGGGAACACCAAATATATTAAGAAAAGACTAAGTCAAGAAAGAAATCTACTTAACTTCCCTTTTTAAGCAGTTTCATTTTGATTGACAATTTCAAAGAATCAAAAAGAATAAGGAACCAGTCCCTATAAGATTACAGGTAGAAAGTTGGAAAAATGACAGATAATTCACTGAAAGGAAAATCATTTTAAGGAGTCAGAAACATATATAGCTACATGATAAACATACCTACACACCTTTTCAATTTGCTGTTCATAACTATTCGGGGAGGGGGGTAAGGAACAAAACAGAACAGGTGCTTACCATTCTGGGAGACAAACTCGGCATGAGGAGACAATCATTAAGGTACTGTTTAACCTATTTTATTTTAAATATTAGTTACATGCTAATAATTGGAAGTTATGGAACTGGAGGCCATAAAATGAATTAGGACAGCCTCAGGAAAATACAACAGAGAAGAAAAGGAAGAGAGTAAGTCACATGAGAAGGCCTGCTTCTAAGCCTCATTCTGCCAGGAAATATTTTCTAGATCTTTGGCAAGGCACTTAAACTCTCAGGGCCTGGGATTCTTAATCTAAAAAAGTACATGTTTAAATAAATAATTTTGGAGATTCCTTTCAACTCTAAGATTTACAGATTCAATATTTGTAACAGGTATCTTAATTTGGCACTTAATGTTTTCTTTGCTCCATACTTCAACTTGCACATTTGAAGGTTTGTAAGAAAGCAGAAGTAAGAAAATATGTGCTTCGTTGTCGAAATAAACTTTGTTTTGTATATTTGGAGGCAATCTATTAAAAGCCTAGGTATTATAGACAAATATAAAAAGCCTAAGAATTTTTAAAAGATGTTTTGCCTAACAGCAAATCTGGTGTATTTCCCTTCTGCTCGTAACTATCCACGCTTCATCAGGTTAGTACTATGAGTGTGTGCACAGCGTTTGGAGGAATTTGAAAGCCCTTACATAACAAAGGTTTCCGGTCACAGAAATGTCATACAGCATAAGAATGCCACCTCAACACCATCTCCTCTGGTAATGCTGAATGTGTAATGACTGTCACAGAGAAACCTTTAGCAGGGTTAGGTTGCTATTAATATATTCAAAGCGTAAACATGCTTTCAAATAAACCATTTAAATAATCCCACAATTTATCAAAACATACAACTCAAAGGCTTAATATACAAAATAGCTATCTAATAAATTAATTAAGCTTATATAGTCTTGTACCCTAGACAGTTGGAACTGTTCAGGTCCCCATAAGAAAGAACAGCCCCATCATTCAACTTGCCAATAAACCTGCTTTTGTGATAGATCGTTGTGTTCCTCCTCAAATAAATTAGTAGCTGTGCATCACATGATGTTAGTAATAGACACTTAGTAACCAGGCTTATAAATCAACTTGTATGTACTCTTATTTACCACTAACATAAAACCATAAATTTCACAACCTGATTTATATCTGGTCCAGAACTGTACTTCCCAGGAAGACACAGTTAAAACTGAAGATCTTAACAGTGCAAAGGCTAAAGGATTCAGCTTACCCGATGAAATAAGTATGCTCAAGCTTTCTAGCTTGCCATACTGAGCAGCCACAAATAAAGGTGTGATTCCAAAGTCATCCTGGCATTCCTTGTCTGCTCCTTTCTTAAGAAGCAATTTTATGATCTCACCATTTTCCTAAAGCACAGATTCATATTTTAAACAGGAGAAAACAAAGAAAATAGAAGGTATCTGTTTTCTTATCCCTGTGTTTTGGGGTGTTTTCATCTTCACTAAAGGAAAACTTTTTTTTTTTAAGTGTATTGTTCAACGGGAAGGATGTACTAGACAGAGATTATTCTATATGTTTAGCCAGCCCATTAAACAGGTGAAACATTGATCTCTAAGAATTATAATCCTTTTAAAGCCTGCAAAATTAGTTTGCTAGCCCAAGCAGTAAGGAGTTAGCACAGTTTCTAAACACACTGCTATAAATAAAGTCAGTCATTGCTCCTTATCAATTTATACCCTAAATATTCTGATGGTCTCTTAACTATGCCATCAACATATGAAAAACTTAGATAATCCCTGAATCCCAAAGCTGCTGGAACTACCAGAGCAGTTGGCTTATTCAGAATGATCATTAGCATTTAGACTGCCTTTTCTGTACTGCACTAACCATCATAAATCACAGGCAAGTAGGAAGCAAAAACTGTATAGAACTGTCATTTTAAAAGGGTAAAACACATAATTTACATGGAAATGAAATAATAAATTCACAGCTTACCTGAAAAGTAGCCTGATGCAAAGCGTTCCATCCACACATAGAATGGGATCCATTAACATTTGCTCCATATCGAAGCAACAGCCTTAACACATCTATATGTCCATTTTCAACAGCTGCGAATGCAACAGTCAAAACAATTATTGTCAGTAGAAAGGCAGGTTTGTAGGACTGGACACTTTGGTGATGTTCTCATCACTTATTCACCCTGGAACTCACAGTGCTGTGATCATTCCTATCAAGAAATCAAAACACATACTCCCTATGCAATCCCAAAACATTTATCACAGTTGTCTTAGCTTAAACCTATTAACATACACATCCTTTCTGTGAACAAAATTATTTTCAGTAGCGTTTAAAAGAATACAGAGGAAATGGAAGTAAGAGGCAAACATTTATTCTCTCTGCTAATAAAGACAATGTTTCTATTTAGTTAAAATGCAATTGGGAGAGAGATAAGGATGAACAGGTCAGAAGAAACAGCAGTCTGAAGAAACAGTCCCACAGGGATTGAAAGGTTGGCTGTTATTACCATTTGACCACAAATGACAATAGTCACTGCCCAACTGAAAAAGCAATACTGCAAGTTCTGCATCTTACATATTTTTTCCGTCATAAACAATCGTTAAATGATGTGTTTGAAGCGATCAATGAAAATATAGTAAAACTTTGCTTGTTTGAAAAAGAAACCCCAGACAACCTAAAGAGTATTTTTGGAGAAATGCATATTACTTAATGGCCCCCAAGCTGCTGCTACAGTAGATCGTTTGAAGAATAGCTCACATGCCCATAGGTTCCTTAAAAAACGTGCACCCTTTTACTAATTCCACCAAATTATTCTATTTTCTTTTACATATCTAACATTACCCCAAGGTAAGTGCCACCAAATATCAGGTGCATACAATAATTTACAAATCTGATCTTGTGAGGAAGAACACAGGTATGATGTTATTAAGTTGATAGAACAAACGAGTGGGACTAAACTTTCCAGAATGTGATCTACCACAAAACAAAATTGTGCATTGACGATGTCATTGATTCTGGAGTAGTTAAGGGGGGGGGAAACAGAACGCCAGAACAGAGGTATAGAGAACTTAATAAAATAAGTACCCACACACATACACCATTAGCAAATATGACATACTGTGATTGATGTACATGTGAGGACTTCTTGGAATTATCAGTTTGGGGAAATATCAGTATCAGAAAGAGGACAGATGTGATAGGAAGGTTTGACTTCATGTGCTTGGCAATGAGAAAGGAGGTTTGAAAAACAAGTATGAATTTTTTATTTCATCTCAAGTATATATTTATTCCTTTTACTATAGTTGCAGGTAGGAAGTAAAAATCAACAACTCCAGTCAAAAATTAGAAAGGCGCTAGACTCTTAAAGAAAGAGCCACATTTGGAAAATGCTAGCATAAAATAGGAAAGATAAAATACTTGAATGTAGAAAGCCAGAAATGGTAAGTGTACTCATTATTACTGAAGATAAGTAACATGTCACTAATACTCTTAATTTTGTATACTGAATTTATACCAAACCTAGTTCCACCACAAAGGACTGTCAGAAGTTTTTTAGTTAAGAATTCTCTCATCCTGGGAGGTTTCAGAAACCACAATGGTTGAGACAGCACCATTGTAGCAGAAGTTTAACATACCTTATTTCTAAGTTAACATTCAAGGGTATTTTATCAAGGAAAGAACAACAGTTTTTCAAGCTAGGTTATTTTTCTATAATCAATCTAAAGTCAATCTAATTTGGGTGGAGGACATAAGAAAAAAGGAAGAAAATCAGTTTCATAACCAATTCATCATTATCAGTGATTGCTGATAAAAATCATTCCATAGCCAGATCCTGAGTTGAAGCTTATCAACTGGCAGTGATGTATGAAGCAGGGTAAAGATGTTTGTTTTTCATGAGTTAGGCTGACCTTATAAAAATGAAATTCAAAAAAATTTGTTTTGATTATTAAATACACTATAGTAGAGAGACAGAAAAATTGTTTTTAACATCATAAATACATTAACATATGATACCTGCATCTCCAGTGAAAACATTTGCCAAAGGCAACAGTGAAACCAATATAAAGAGTATTTTTATAGCTCTATTTCAAAATAAAGCAAATTTAATGATTAATAATTATGAACTAGTGGTTCAGAAAAGTGTACTTAGAGGGGCGCCTGGGTGGCTCAGTCAGTTAGGGGCCTGACTCTTGATTTCAGCTCATCATGAGCTCACAGTTTATGGGATTGAGTCTACACTAATAGCACATAGAACAGCCCACTTGGGATTCTCTCTCTCCCTCTCTCTCTACCCCTTTCCTCTCCTTCCCCCCCCC